GGCGGAAGCGATGGAATAGTTTGAGGGTGGAAATTGTCCGTCGAGAGATATGAGAAATAATTTTATTCATGAAATGGAACAACTTTAGTATTTACCTTAAAAACGAAATTTTTCTTGTGAGCCGGTCCATCTTCGGACAGTACAGTGAACATAGGAGGATTATAGTGTTTCCTCGTACAATACTCTACGAGAAGGGACACAGGATGCTTACCTGAAATATTAAAACGTCAAAATAAGTTTAAAAAAAAAAAAAAAGGACTAAGAGGCATAAAACACGGAAGGTGTTATGTTTTTCAAGTATCAAAGTAAATCATTACTGTTAAATATATCGCGATTAAATTTAAGAATTACATTAATCGTTACAAATATCATATGATAAAAATAAAAAATGGTTTAGGTTACTGAAACATTTATTTTATTTAAAAATTACAAAACAAGAAACATTTGAAATAATAATAATATTAATGGATTAAAGGGTGGTGTTTTATTATGGAGATCGGAATTCCGAGTCTTGAAGTATTCTTTAAAATGATAAAAAGATTTTTCAATCTGTTATCATATTTAGGATTCATATTAAATTCCTGTGAACAGAACTTTGTAGTTGTATATACGTTAGCTCATTAATCATATAAATAAAATGGCTTTAATTAAATTTAGTTTTGTAAGTTTGAACCTCCAACCAAAGAATTGGATACATTTACATGCATGTACCCGTACAAGCAAAAATTTTCAATTTTTATTTATTGATCAAGATTAGGTTAAAACATTCAAAACGCAAAAAGTTAGAAATTTTTCTGATACATATCTCCAAACGTATTTATTAATCTAGCGCAAGAATTAATTGAGGCGTTGACATGGAAAAGGTAGTAAGTCATGAAATGGTTTACAGGAGAAGCAAAAAACTGTTTTGACACTTTTTTTTTTTTAGTGAAAAGTTCATTTGGCGTGTTTTGGACTTTTTTTTTGTGGAAAATTAATTAGATTGAACAGTCAGATCTCCGATGTGCAACACTCGGGTTAAGTCGGCTGGAGCGACCGAGTGAAGTGTTTTTGCGTATGGACTAAAATATCTCCAAATCGGACCTGCATACTGTAAGCGAAGAAAATGTTCAGCATTTCGCTCTCTTTGTAATGGGCTATTATTCAAAATTGTATCAACGTGGTGCCATGTTAGAAAGGTGAAAAGGACAAAAATAGATTTTTTTTTTTTTTTACTTTCACATATCTAAACATGAAATATATAGTAAGGGATAGTATGGCGAACGTCAAAATTTTCGAATATGAGTTTTCAACAGAAAGACATGTTTTGAGGTCTTCTAGTCCAAATAACCATGTCCCGCAAAATGGTCATTCTTTATCAGTTTAACTCTATTGCAGCTCAAATTTATGTGATTTTTTTTTTCCAAGTATCCAATTCTTTGACTTTAGTACATTATTATTGTTACTAAAAATGGAAATTATAAATAATTAGATTTCAGTAAATAAGGGTAAAATCATTAGAATATACATGTATTAACTCACCCTCTAAAGATTTGGTTGGTTGATTTTTTGGTATATGATGAGGCCTGAACCTTGGTTGTGGGATTTCATCGGCACAAACAAGACCTGGAACGACATAAAATAATATAAAAAAAAATGACAGTTTTATCAAATTCAACATTTCAAAGGACTGTAAATATTTTAATCCTATATAATACTTAATAATCCCTTAAGAGCATCCTCTAAGCTTCTTTAATACCATTCGACTTCTTCAAAAAATGCCTCAGTTTAGTTATTTCTTTCAAAAAAGAAACATGACAGTGTCCTGTTACTTACTGGAAAAAAAAATTTCACAGCCGCTGAAGCAACTTGTGAAATTATTAAATATAAAGGGGAAGGTATCCTAGACCAGCACACTGCGTGGCGATGTTTTGAAAAATTTAGCAGTGGAGATACGATGTTGCAAAGGAAGAAGAGCTCTGGGCGACCATTAATAGATATTGATCAGGTTCTGCAGGAAGAGGTTGAGTCAAATCCATCCACAAGTACTTGCTTGGGAGTGTGGCATGTTGAAACATACTGTTAGCCGCCATCTACTCTTCATAGGAAAGGTGAAAAAGAGCAGTAGACTGATCCTTCACCAACTTACTCCTCAGCAATAAACTAGGAGGTTAGAAATTTGTGAAAGTTTATTGAAAAACCCTTCTGATATGAGACTCCTGCCTCATCCACCACATAGTGCAGACCTTGCACCATCGGATTACTACTTATTTAGATCCATGGCCCATTTTCTTCAAGGGAAAAAATTTAATAATTTTGCGGAAGTTGAAATTGCGGTCCAAGAGTTCTTTGTCAGCCATTCCAAAGAATGATAGCGTGGGATCGAGGAATTGGCTAGCATATGGCTAATGACGGTACATAATTATTTATTCTTTTAATCAACATTTTAGGGTATAACTCAATTTTTGATTTTATTAATGTCCATCCCTTCAATTATTCTCTATCATATTATCCATTACCTTTCTCTGAATTAATTGTCAGGCTATAAATGTTATTGACATATAAATAAATGTAATAATTATTTTTAAAAAAAAATAATTAAGTTAATAATAAAATAAAATATAACTAACCTCTTTTATCCATTTTGACCTGAAGTTTGAGGGGCTCCAGGGTTCCTTCGTTACGCTTTCCCAAACCTTCTCCGGGTTTCCATCCCATCTTTTGTAGCAAAGACATCCCCATCCCGCCACTCACAGGCTGAGCACAAATAAGTTGGTCCTATCCGTTTAAGAAATCATGCATTAGTAAAAGTTCAAATCGATTGACAATATCATGCATGATATAAATTTAATAAATGGAAAATATAATTAATAACAGAAATATTAATATTGTAACATGTAGTGTGTCACTGATTAGATAATATTTTCAGAAACTCTTAAATGCTTAAAGCATTAAATAAAGAGAAAAGTAATAAAAAGAAAATATATAGTGATAATTCATATATTTAATAATTTTATAGTATTACTATTAATAAGTGCAGGCCCTACTCGACTACTTAGATCACTAAGGTACAGATTCGATTCCTGCATGGGGACGGTAACGTTCCCACCCTGAGATTCACAGCAAGATGAACTATCCCTCTGATAATCCCTTATCCCATAAAAAACTTGGTGAAGAACACTGCAAAAGATTGCCAACCATCCTTCAATAAAAATCTGATGGAGAGAATGAATTGTGATTGCATCTAATTAGTAAACCATGTGTTCCCTGAATATCTAGAAGAAGAGGAACCAAACGATCAGGACTGTTGCCTATAAAAAAAACCAAAAAGCTGCTAGAAGACTCATGGTGCAAAGTTGAAGTCAAGAGAAATACTATTAAAACAAAATTAATTTTAAATACATAAGGCAAAATTATTAATTAAACAGAATAAAAATAGATATAATCCAATCTTTTGGTATTGGAGAATAAAAATTTCAGTAATTTAATAAAGTAAAGCTTGGAATAAGTATTAAATCACCTCCATAACTCAACTTGAAGAAGTGTAAATTATAAATAAAGCATTGATTCAATTTAACACACATGGAACAATCAGCATTCAAACTTCAAACTCCAGGATCCATACTACACACTTTCAAGGAAGGAACAAGTTTAAGGAAAAACTCAAAAATAAATTTAGTATTGGTCCAACTTGTTTATGTGAATGAGGAAGAGGCCAGCAAACAGCGAAACAAGTCCAGACATGTCTACTAATGGAAGAACAACGGAAGCAGTACATGGATTAAAGTTATCACTCCTATGTCCAGAAGGTGTGAGTTGTCTCCGGTAGGGCAATTGCTCATATTCCGGGTGAGGAGAATTTATGGCAGCGTGGCTTTCCCAGTGGATGATCACCTATCTTTACTTACCATGCTTGATACTACTTAACTATTTAAATCTTCGTAATCCGGAAGGACGGTGTGGCTGAGAAGATTCTATGATGAAATAATTACGAGTTCACATCCCTGTGCTGGGGAAGGGGAGCTTTTAACTCTGGTATTAATCCCCCGCCCTCACCCCTGGCCCAGGAAAATCCTCGTATAGCCTAAAAGGCGAAGAAGAGAAAGACAAAAAAAAAAAACCCTCCTAAACCCACTAGGCCTTCCCGGCCCCCAATATTGTTTAAAAAAGGAAATTTATTGTTTTTTTAAAAGAAATAAACAGGTAAAATGCTAGCTTCCAAAGCGGAGCCACCCTATCTAAAACTAGACTTATAGAGGAATTAGAATTTTATTTTCCGTTGAAAACTAGTCAATATCACAGACAATTAAGTAAAATTGGAAAAAAAAAATTAAAGCAATAAAAGGACTAAATCAATCCTCGTAAAGAGTTGAAGTAGTCTTTAAAAATATTTCTGTTATTATTTATTTTGGAGTAACACTTAAAATATAATATAATCAAATTAGTATAAGATGGAATAATACTAGGATTGGTGGTGATAGCCAATAATAATTCTTCACAATTCAATAATTAAAAAAAAAAAAAAAAAAAAATGGGAGGAATGACATTTGCAAACGGGTGCTAGTATAGGCAATAACACCAATCAACATGACACAAGTTTAATCACTAAAAGTTTTTCTACCCTACAAAAAACATTACTTCCTAACCCCATCGGCAAGTAAAAAAATTATATTTTACAAATTATTCAAGTTAAGTTGAAACTTGAATTAACAGTGGCACATTATTACTTATGGCACAGATATTTCAGTCAGCAAAAAATTATTTTTTCCCCCCCCACAGTGTATCAAATATATAGGAGGGAAACATAAGTAACGGAAATAAGGAAGTTAAATGAAACCATGCACACCATCTGAAATGGTTATTATATCACCATCATATACATATATATATTTATATTTAAAAAAATATATTATATCATAAATGTCTTGAAGATCACTACACGATTTTTTTTGTTTTTGTTTACCTTTGAAGGAAATTTCTTCCAGAGACGATCCAGACGTAGCTTGATTCATCGTAGATATTTAGGAAGAGATTGTTGAAGGTAAGTCCCCTGAGACCTGTTCTAGATCCTGTAACAAATCCTCAGGTCTTCTCACTGGGTGTTACATTCCACCTATCTTTTCATTCATCACAAAATCTTTTCATTCATAAAGTCAACCATGCTTCTAGCCAGCGGTACAGACCCCTTTTTATCAGGTTGTTAATATCTGTCTAAATATTCATGAATGGCTTCATCTTACCCTAACCTACAACTTTTTTATCAATGAAAATTCTCAGAGTGTTTTCAATCTGATGATTGATAAATTTTTTTTAAAATACTCAAGAACACCTATTTGATTTACACTTGAATCATAAGATAATCTGATCACAAAAATAAAAAAAACTTAACCATCTTATCGTGGCTCTTTTTTTATCAATGGCAAAAATATCAGGTTCTCGTAAAGTTCCCGCAGCTCCTCATTCTTTCTTCTTATGCAAATTCTATTCTCAGAAATTCTCAATACTTTTCTCTCCAGGATTTGAGCATGCGTTCTGAGTTTTTTGTTAAGGTCCAAGTCTCACACATTTATAATTACTGGCCTCACTACGGTTTTGTAGATGAGGATTTTGATTCTTTTAGAATAGTGATCTAAATTTCAAGTCTCTTTGCTATCCAGGCCTTTATTTCACTCTCTATTTTATTATTGCATGTGACCAGGCTTCCAAGGAACTTGAACTGGTTAACAGACCTAAAGTTATGATCTCTTAAAGCTATTTCCGTGTTCACTTCCTTTTCCGTTTTTGAACTTTTCATGCACACCGTCTTATTTCCATTAACCCAAAGGCCAAGTTTAGTCGCCGCCTGGGTATGGTACTAGAAGTAATGGAAACATCATCGGCATATACCAGATGTTGAGAGAGACGATTGATGAACCTCTTGGATTTGTTAACCAATAGCCACTTCCAGGACTAGATTAAAAAGAATATTTATGAGTTTATAGTATTTCATTAATTTAATGGGGAAACGACCCATTTCTGAGAATTTTTAAAGATAAAAAAGCTATAGGTTACGGTGAGATGAAGCCATTTACGAAGTTTTAGATAATTTGATAAAAAGGGGTCTGTACCGTCGACTACTCCACAAATCCTCCATCGAAATGCGCTGAAAATCCGGATCCTTTTTTGTATCCATTCGACAAATCATAGTCAACAATGTATAGCCTCTAACCTACCAAGTCAGGCTTTACTCTTTTGTCAAATTTTAAAATTAAATAAATGAAAAAAAAGAAAGTGAAACTGATAATTGTATCGTTTATTTCCAAAGTGAACCCTAATTCGTCACTGCAAATATTTCAGAAAATGCGAAAAACTATATTTCTTTATTTGCAGTATATATTTCGTTGATTATTACAAATTTTTAAAATTTAAAATACACCTCACCACTTTATTTACACTATTCTAAATTATTTAATAAACTTATTCCATTTTAGAATCACCTGAAGATGGACAGATAGATGAAATATAATGAAAATAAAGTTTCTTTTTCAAGTGAAGTATTTTTTAGTATCAAGAATTTTTAATAAATTATGTCCCTTCATCTTAAAACATAAAACTAGTTGGCCCGTGAGAATAATTCGCAAAAAATATTGGTCAGTGAGCAAATGACAAATAATAAGGAAATAATTCAACATACCATAAGATAAAATCATTTTCTTTTTTTTCGGTAAATGTAATTGACCAAGGAAAAAAAAATTATTAAAGATCATTAATATTTAAAATCAAAATGTATACGAATTAAATTAACCTGTATCTCAGCTAATAATTGTCTGAATTCGATGATTTTTTTTTTGTGAGAAATTTAATAATCTTTCAAAATAATCATGGGTAAAATCAACAAAATCTGTTTAATTTTTTAGTTATCCGCGAATAAAGTTTTTTTTCCTTCATAACTTTTTCCCTTGAAATTTCGGAGGGATGTGACTATTTTTCTCACATGGACATCTTCAAAATGAGGGCTCAATCGTTGGATTTGATGAAGAATTGACAAAGATATGGCATATTGACAACAAAATACCTGAGATATAATGAGAAATAATATGTAAAGATCATTGATTATTTTAATATGGATTTAACTTTTAGGTTTAAAAAAAATTAAAACCATGGCCATTTTCAGAGCAAAAATAGTTGAAAAAAACACAACAAAACAAAAAAACACTGCAAATCATTACACAATGGTTTATTATTGACAAAGAATTTAACATTGTAATTTCCATGTAATGTAAAGGAAAATTAATAAAAAGGGATTCCTAATATTGGCCTATATAATTTTCTTTTTCATCATCGATAATTTAAAAAAAAAAATAGACAACACTGCTACACTACAGTTGATGTAGAACTTTCAAAAAATTAAAACCAAACAAAAGATATAAAAGCTTTGCAGTAGAACATATAAAACCTATTTAGAACACCATATCTTTGCTCCAAATTTCAACAATTTTAAGTAAAAATAGTAGACTTTTAAATAGCCATTACATCAACAAAAATGTGTATGCTTCTTGAGTTACTCGGAAATCTAATTTTACCATCCTTTGTAACTTTTTTTCCAGCTTCTTTTCGTTGCAGTACATTATATAAATAAATTTAAAGGTCATCGAGGAGAAGAATTTAGCCAAGTTTCATTGAAATTGGCGGATAGCTATGTCGAGGTAGGAGGATCATCCTTGGGAGACATCTGACTTTGATTCCAAATTTGAATCAGTCAGAATTTGAAAAAAAAAAAAAAAAAAAAGGAGCCTAAGAGAAAAGCCATGACCTGCGGACAGACAAACAACTTTTTTTTTGATCTTTGAATTCTACGTATCACGAAACGTAAAACCTCAAATTTTGAGGAGTGTTGAATTTTTTGTCCTATTAGAATGGCTCATTAATTGAAAATAATAAACCAAAAATTATTATATATATATCAATCTTATTGGTTAGGACTTCACTTTGTTATTAAAAATTATTCAGTTTTTAATGTGAAAATTCTATCTTTTAATTTTAATAGTGACGCTGTGACAATGCCCACTTTTAACATTCTCTGGTCTGAAATATTTTTCATAGCGGACCCACGGAAATAAAAAAAAAAAAGGTTGCCTCGTTGAAATCTTTAAATGTTTTTTTAGGAACCGGTACTTATTTTGACTTCAAAAATTTTTTATTATTGTTCATTTTGGAAATAAGTGACACAATTAAAAAAAAAAAAATGTTATGGGGATAAATATATTCAAGCAATAAGTTTTGTGTTTTATTATTATTAATTTTTTTAAATTGTATTTATTATAGAAATGTTGCTGCACATCATGTCGACGATAACAGGCTGAAAATAATAATTTTGAAAGATTCAAGTCAGTCATTAAAAATTAAATATTGATGGCTTAATTACAAATATCTAACTAACTAAGCTCAAAACATTTCTTTACAAAGATTAGTGGAGACACAGAAATATTTCCACCAGGGCTAAAAAACAAAACAAAAAAAAAACTGAACATCAAATAACTTATAAAATAGCATCTAATTCATATTTAAATCAAGATGAGTAAACAATAAAAATTTAATTAAAGCCCTTATGGAAATATTTTACATTTCTTTCAAATTCACAGATAGGTAGAATAAGTAACACAACCAACTTAAAAAGTATTACAATTGGTTTTTTTTATAACCATTGATTAACTTTTAGTATACACAATATTATTTATTGTGCATAATTAATAAAATTATTGATTATTAGTAATTATAAATGAGATATAAATAATTACTAATAACCAATATAAATAAAGACCTGAAAATTTGTTGCAGAAGAAATATATATGCAATTCACAGAATAAAATTCTTTACTTTATTAATGATTTTTTTTTTTTGTTCCCTTGTTCTCCAATAATAAAAAAAAATTAATAGTCGAATTTCCTTATAACAAAGTCTTTCAATAAAATTTTTAATCCAAAGGATCCAATAGTAAGAAAATCATAGAATATATTACGTTATTGATAGATAAGACCGCCATTAAAATAAAATTGCAAGAAATATATATGAGTACTTATTTACATAATTAAAACCACCCTGTCTTTAACTATAAGCAAAGTTCTTCAAAACACTATAAGTAGTGTTTTGAAAAACTTCGCTTATATTTAAGATAGGGTGGCGCAAAACATTCAGTAGGATGATTCAAGGGAGAAAAGGGCTTTCGGAATGAAACCCCACCCGCCAAAAGATTTTGTTTTCCTCAGTCCATATTTTTTTTTAATCAGTAATCCAAACCAAATATTACAATATGATCTCTTTACAACATACTTCACTTCTAAATCATTCTACGGTTGCCAAGGAAAAACATAAAAATTTTATCTATAAAAGCATTAATGTTTCTGTAATTACCGTCATAAAAGAAAAGGCCACTTTTGAAATAGATAAAACTCCCATAAAAAATTTTGGAACTTGTAAAGAATCCGGTCGGGACGAAACCTCCCTTCTTACCTTATCTTATGTCACATAACCTTCCTTCTTATCTCATGTAAGCTGTTGATATCCTTCTGTTACTAGCGAGTTATTCGATTGTTTATTTTTTTCTATTCTTTATTATTCAAATGGATATTATTACACTGTGGGAATTACCGTCTTCAGAAGAAGAAGCTATGAAATATTTTCCAAAGGCCAGGATAATTCCAAAGGTGCAATTCTGTGAAGAACATGAAATGATTTTTGACAGGAAGACAAAATGAAGATGCTTTCGTATAACAAAAATGTATCTAAAAGAAAAGAAACGTGGTTAAAGGGGTAAAAGATTACCTTTACAACCGCTTTAAAATTAATTTATGGGGGAGTCTGATTTAACAATTGAGTGGGGCAAAGAGTAAAGTAGCTGAAACTATCGAACAAAAGTGTGATAAGGTGGGACAAATTTTTAAGAGACGTTTGTGCCTATAACATGTTATACATGTCGACGAAAAAAATTGGAGGGCCTGGCAAAGCCGTTGAAGTAGAGAGTCTTTTTCAAAAAGAAAAAATCATGTAGAAAGATTTCTACCTGAACAACGGATGTTTGGAGGAGTTTGCAGAGAAACAGACGAGTGTTTAAAAATAAAGGACAGAAATATATGTTGTAAAATAAAAGTTGTTACTGATATGGGAATTATTACATTTATTTTTGTTTATTTTAATTTCTATAAATATGACATTTGTTCTTGTCTATTTCTTATATATGTTATAAATTTCCATAAATAAAACTAGGAAGATAGGGATTATCAGTGTCTTATGAGAATTATCAGTGTTGAGGTTATAAACATTGGCAAATAGCAGTCCATCCGGACCGGATTGTTCACAAGTACCCAAATTAAAAAAAAAAAATTATTAGTACGAATTCTGTAGTTCATCAAATCTCAAACCACGTAGGCAGTATATATATACACACACACATACCTAAAGAGGCAATCACTTCAGAAATGAAGATAACAAGGAATGGAGGAAGGGTAATGGCTGTACAGAATCCATATACGATGAAGTATAGCGGACAAATTATTAAACTTCATTAATTTTTAAAATATTTTTATATAGTATTAACAAAAAAAAATAAATAAATAAAAACACGTATTTCTACAAACCATACAGAACGGTCTTGGGTTCAATACATAGTAAGGAAGTTATGTTTATCGGTTGACGGTTGTACAAGGAGTTGATCTGACCGTGATCACACTCAACCGCCAGGTTTCCCCTTTAATTAAGAGTACCAAATTTATTAAGAGTGTGCCCCAGGGTCGATCCACAGCCAATAAAACAGAATAAATAAATTACCTATCATCAGCCAGATTCAAACCAAGTACCTTAAGCTTAGGAAGTCGGTGTTCTACCCACTGAATGAATTACCCCGCTCCATATATATTATTTATAACAAACATTAAAAAAAAAATTTTTAAAGAATAAAAAAAGCCATAGATATGGTTTATAAATTACAATTTAAATCAGCTTACTTTTTTTTATTTTATTTTTTTTTTTTTTTGTATAATTGACATCTTTCTAGAGCGGATGAATGGATTTTCTGTAGCTGTCCAGTAGTTATAAATTTATATAGAATAAAGGTTTCACTGAATATAAATTTAAAAAAAATATGTTAAATTTTTTCGAAGTATTACTTATTTCAAAAGGGGCCATTCTTTCTATACCACCCAGTATAATTGATGAGATAAAATAAACGGAAACAGACACAAAACAGATCAACTTATTTTGAAAAATATCCTTGTTATGAAGACATCTAATCATAGTTTACTAAAAACTTACGAAAAAAAAAAACTTGTTCAAAAAAAAGCATAATGTTATTTAGAAATTCGACTGTAAACATAAACTTATATATTTTTGAATACAATCACAAGTTTTCTTTATTCAATAATGCAAATTCCTCTTTCAGCAGTAATTACTGAAGTATACAAAATCACATATTGAATGATCGAAAAATTCTGACATAAACAAGAATAAAATAAGTTTAATAATTTTTTTTTTATTTAATGAACAATGAAATATACTGAAAACTGTAATTATTTTTTGGGCTTTTAAAAGTTGTTTTATTTTTCATTTATTCTATAAAACTAAGATGATTTATCATAAATTTATCGTGAAGTATTTATACGAATGTGATTACTTTTATCAAATTATATAAACTGACGTAGTATTATTTGACTAAATCATGAATAATACTAAAAAGAACCCTCGATCACGGATATTTTAACTTATTATTTCAACAATTTTTCCCATTCCTATTATTTTAAAACATACAGTGAGTCTCAATTCTTAATGCCTAAACTCTGAGAGTGATTCCAGATAGAATTTCCAACTAAAAAGTTCATTTGATGCATGGGACGATTTTGAACAAAGACCAATTTTATGTTTTTCTAAAGGTGGTCACATTTTTTATTGAATAAGAAGGAATTACTCAAAAAACTATTCAACATATTTAAATTCTAAATACACCATCGTAAAGTAGAGAAAATTTTCTTTGAGAAAAAAGTGATTAAATTTGCTAAGTTCTACGATAAAAAGGACTTTCAGTAGGTCTAATACGGCTTTTAACTAATCATATAACTAACATGCATCAAACGAACTTTTTGGTTTAGAAATTTTGCCTAGAATCATCCCCCAGAGTTTGGACATTAAGAATTGAGACAGCCTGTATAATAAAAAAAATTGAGAATTTTTGAAAATAAACTATTCATAAACAGATAAATAATCAAGTATGTTTTAGCTTTCCATGAGGAGAAATTAATTTTCTACTTTACAGAAATTTATTTATATTTAGAAGAATTTTTGAGTAAGAAGTGAAATTCAGATAATCCAGTGCTCATCCTCTGACTAATAAAGCTCACGGCAAGACTTTAGTGATATTTAATTCATTAAAAAAGTACTCGATGAAATCAAAAAAATTATTTGAATTCTGCAAACATAGCAATACATACAGTAACTAAAACGTATATTATTGAACAGCGATAAAACAAAACCGATTTAAAAATTTCATATCATATTAACATATATTATAAAAGGATATGGAAGAATTTTCATGCGTGAACATAAATTTGTTAATTAGTTACTTTTAGATGGATTAAAAAATATCGATTTAGAGAATATGAAAATTCAGATGTAAAGTATGATTTTCCAGTTGTATGATCTCGCGACTAATACGAAAAGGTTTTATAAGATAAAAAACAAATAAAAAAAGTTAAATATAATTAAACTATTTTGATGACTACAGTTGCATATTGCAATAAAATTATATTATAAGATAAAATGCTTTTTAGTTATAGTTTGGTTGATACGAGCCAGAAAAACTTCTGCAGGACCGTGTCATTTAAGAAACCGGCTCAAGAAGTAGTCACAACCCAGACTCGTACCGACCAGGAAAGGCACCATCCCATCTGGCTCATATCAACCAAAATCTATAACTCACCCTGTAAATAAAATATTGAAACCCAAATTAATCACTGCTTGGACAATTTAAATTCTTATATTTATTATATAAATATAATAAAGATATCTTAAATCTATAAATGTATATATGTGCATTTAATATTTATATATACACAGATATACATATTACTGACAAAGCAAGTATTTGCTATAGAGTACAAAATTTACACAAAAACACTCAATAGGTTTTAATGTTTCCTATTATTTAAAAAAAAAAACACATGAGATTCAAAGTTAAACTACCATATATTCATGTCAAAAGAAATATAAAAATCCTACCAATCTAATGTTAATAAAAATTGATAATAGGTGACTAAGAACTCAAAAAAAATTTCTTTATTATATATTAAAGGTAAATATTGACATTTCTATTAATAGTAATCGAGAATATATGAGAAAAATCCACAAATAAATAAATAAAATAATAGCTATTTAAAGATTATATACAAGCCATTTTCTTCTCTTTTTTTTTTTTTTTATACATTATATACAACCTGATAATAAAATTTACAAGATATACAATAGAAAACAATGGTAGAGACCCTACGCAGCTACTATTTAACTTGACCTACTTTTTTTGCCCAGGCTTGTTGTCCTGACGCAAGCTCTGCTTGAGATAAAAATCTAGCACCAGTAGTGCCAGTAAATAGACCTGAATCGTGAGGTTTCGGCCAAGGGTTTCCAATCTAAAACAATAAAAACAAACAAATTACTATATAGTTAATGTGATTTAAAAAAAAAATGCATTACATGTTAAATCTTGATACTACGAGGGTGGTCAGAAAAGTTTCCGACCTAAACGTGAAGATGGATGCACTCTTAAATAAAAAAAAGTGAATTTTGTTGTTCATCTGTTGACAGTTACCCACCAAAGTTTCAGCCATTTTGGACGCCCTATTTTTATGTAACAGTCGTTTGAGTAAGTTGATGTGAGTGTTTTTGTGAAAATAGATAAAATCGAGTATCGAACTGTCATTAAATATTTGTTTTTGAAGGGCAATACACCTATGAAAATCAAAGATGAGTTGGATTCTGTGTATGCAGACTCTGCGCGATCATTCACCACAGTAAAATTTTGGGCAGCTGAATTTAAACGTGGCAGTAAGGGCTTGGGAGATGATGAACCTTCGGGACATCCAAAAACTGCAATTACCGATGAAAACATCGCCAAAGTCCACCAAATGGTGCTAGAAGACTGCCGAATTAAAGTGAGAAAGATAGCAGAGGTTATGAACATGTCAAAAGAATGTGTTTGTTACATATTAAATATGACACAAGTTCCATTCATCAGCCAATTTGTTGTTCACTGTGATATTCTTCAGAATGTTTCTAAGGATTCAACATCAATTTACCAACAAAAGGCTAGAACTCTAGAAACCATCGGAAAACGATTCCCAGAGACAGAATGGCTCCATGTATATACTTATGGTTCTGCACTGGAAGCACAAAAACATGACGGAGCAGGAGTTTATTCAAAGGAGTTTCAACTAGCAGGCCCCGGTCGGAAAGGTAGCCACAAACTTTGAAGAGGAAGTGAAAGCCATTCTCTGAGGCCTTCAGAGATTCGTTGAACGAAAAGACAAGAAAGTTGCTTTCTTTGTTGACTCACAGGCAGCCATTTTGTCTCTCCAAAGTGGATATAATATAAATCCAAATGTCCATAAATGCCATCTACATTTGAACTGATTAAAGGAAAATGGGACAGAAGTCGCTTTCCAGTGGATACCAGGCCATTGCGGGCTCCACGGAAATGATGAAGCTGACAAACTGGCCAGAATAGGTTCTGGAATAATCCAACCAAATATCCCTCTGGACATGGATTCAATAAAAAGAATTATAAAACAGTTCACTGAAGGAGAAATATGTGCAAACAATTGAAGGGAAACGATGGAGTGGATTGTTCGAAGAAAGTGGCAGGATCCCTAGGGCAAGCCGTGGCATGCTTTAGAATGCCCCCAGGCCATGATTTTCTTCAGAAGCACCTCCACCGCATCGGTATAAAAGATAGCCTGACATGCCCTCTATGTTCCTTAGATATGATGACAGAACATCTTGATACATGCCCTGCATTACAGGACATAAGATCTTCCTTTAATGAAATGGGCAGCCCTTATGCTAGGAGAGCAAAATTATATTGGACTGCAAGAGCACGCCTGGCTGAAGAAGCAGGCGTTACTTAGGCATAGGGAAAAAAAACAACTTATTAAGTCAACATTTAGATATGAGAAACCTATCCGCATGTTGGGTGCCGCATTTGCTCACACTAGACAATAAATGTGTTCGAATGAACATTTCCAACTCTCTGTTGGAGCAATAAATCCGAGTTTTGGCACCGATTAAATACTGTAGATGAAACTTCGATACACCATTATATGCCCGAAAGAAAAATACAATCCAAACAGTGGACTGCAAAGAGGGAACTGGCTCCAAATAAATTAAAAACTGTTTCCTCGCCTATCTTCAAAAAAGGAAAAACCAGGAGCACACTACACATTATTATTTGACAAGCTGAAAGCGCAACTTGTGGAAAAACGGCCACATTTGCAGAAAAATAAAATTCTGTTTTACCAAGACAACCGTCTCACAGTTCAACAGTTGCCATGGCGAAAATCCACGAATTACGGTATGAACTGCTCACCTGATCTAGCCCCAAGTGACTTCTTTTTGTTCCCTTATCTAAAGATTGTGCTCGGAGGACAGATATTTTCGTCAAACGAAGAGGCAATCACCTTTGTGAACAATTATTTTGCAGAGAAAAACACCGAGTACTTTTTGGACAGGTTACAGAGATGGGAGCATCGCTGGGAGATGTGTGTAGAGTTACAAGGAGACTATGTTGAAAAATGAAAAAAAAATTCAGAAAAAACATCTTGTATTATTGTTAGGCCAGAAACTTATTAGACCACTCTCGTATATATAAAAATCGGCTGTGCACATCACACAACTTTCACTTACTATTCTACTATGAGCAGAAATTATCTGGCAACATTAGGCTATCACAAAAAGTTTTTGTAGTACATTTTTAATGGAACTAAACCTTAAAGAACATATTTTTGAATTTCGGTCATACAAATCAATGCAAAAACTCAATGAGACCATCAAAATAATACAAACTCTATTTATTATATTAATTGTAGGCAATATAAACCCCATAACTATATCAGTATATTTGAATCACCTAACTCTAGTATCTGAGCTCTAAATACAAAAAGAGATTTGATAGGACATATATTTAATTATGAATAAGTAAAAATCGTACTACATAGTAAAAATTAGAGCAATTAAATCTTCATCACTTTTTACATGTATTATATTTAAATTCTTATTTTTTTTTCCCATGGAAAATTTACTAAAATACAATTACAATAGATTATAGTTATTTAAATACATCAGGAGATCATAATAATTACAATAGCCCTGGAGCCCGGGCCCAAAAATCGACCTGATCGCAGGGGAAGGTTTGATTGTAAATTACGAAAGTGTATGTTATTCTGAGTAAAATGAACCTTGTCTCCCGTTCCAGAGCCGCTGCTGTAAAAAATGGCGGCTGATTTAAAGAATATTAGGCCAACAATTTGAGAATCGAAATGGGAAATCCATTGCGAAAAATGTGAGAAAAGTTTTTATTTTTTAAACTTTTATATATGGGTTTAGACATGTAAAAAACAAAATTGCTAACGCACGCCACCAAGGGAAAACTTTCTACAGCCAAAAAAGTCAGATTTTTTTAGTTTTTCACCTATAACTCCTCAACGATGCATCAAAGCGAAAAATGTATTCTTTAATAAATTAAAGAATGTTAAATTTTGCATTTTTTGAGTACATAAACTTTAAAATTTAGTTATGAGGTAAGGTATAAAACCACAGTCAACCAAAGCTGAGTTTTACCAAATTTTTTAAAAACTGAGACAAATGACGAGGAAAAACCCATAAAAGCAAAATTGTAGAGAATCGAATTTTGCGTATACTGAGTATCAACTAATTTAATTTAGGTCACTTCCTGCGAACAAACTAACTTAAAACTAAGTATTCTCCTCTATGCTCTATTTTAAAATTTATCTATATAATATACTTCAACAAAAAGAAGCTGGAAAAACTTATTAGGGGTAGTATGACTTAGATTTCTGAATAACCCAAAAACTTTACACTTTTTTGTTGATACATGATTATTTATTAAAGTTTCACAATTTCTACTAAAAATTGTCGAAATCAGACAATTTGGAGCAAAGATATGGTGTTCTAAATATGTTTTATATGTTCCAATATCTTTTGTTTTTGCTTTTGATTTTCTGAAAGTTTTACATCAACTGTAGCAAATTATCTATGTTTTAAAGCAAATTACCTATGATAAAACAGAAAATTATATTGGCCAATGTCAGGAATCCCTTTTTATTTATTTTTCTTAATGTTACATGGAAAATAATGTTAATTTTGATGTAAAATTGTTTGAAAATAATAAACCACTGTGTAATAATTTGCATTTTTTTGTTTTGTACGATTTTCAAGATGATTACAAATATAATTTCATCCAAAGAAAATTTATAATCAGATGAAGACTTTTATTAAATCGTATCAATCTGTTTTTCACTTTCTGACAAATTACTCTCCCTCTTTCTATTTTTTCCCATCATCTTTATATAAAAACATGATTTTAAAATATTTCTTACTTGGGGTACTGTAGGTAAATGCGGTTGTGGATGCGGTAATGAATTAGGCAGAGGTATATTGGAGAAATGCGCAGTTTCCTGTAGGCCAGGGTAAATGGGTGGTTCCTCTTCTTGTTTTCTCAAAGGTGCTGGCATAATGGCTTTCAGTTCGTCAGTCTTTTTAGGTGAAACAGGAATCCATTCATTCTCTATAAAAAAAAATTAAAAAAATTAATCACACATTTACTTTAATAAACAGATCGATGATACATTAAGAAAGATTCTGAATGAAGGATGTAGAGCTTTTTTTTTGAAGTGAATACTTGTTTAGGCACGTTTTGCACTTTTTTTTTGGATGGTGAAATAGATTGAACCATCACGTTTCTAAAGTATAACGCTCAGCTGGAGACGACTAATTGAAATGTTTTTGCATATGAATTAAAATATCTCAAAAACTAAAAATCAGAACTGTATATTGTTAGCGAAGGAAATGTTCATCATTTCATCATCTTTGTAATGAGCTATTACTCAAAATAGTAAATTAATGTGATACTGTGCTAGAGAGGCGAAAAGAGAAAAAATAGTTTTATTGAAGATATGGATTAAAACATCCCAGAAACTAAAAATTGGACTTGTGTACTGTAAAGGTAGTATTTCGCTGGCGGTTGACCACTGCTTTAGGGGAATAGAAAGGAACCGATTTCGCTGGCGTTGCTCGGCAGTCTAGGTATGACGTCATATCTAAGCTGCTCCTATCTGACCGCTCTTGAAGCAGTGGAGCTGTTGGCGGTTGTAGGTTATGTTATCATATCAGAGCATTGTTTTGATGATAACAGTAACGTTGATACGTTTTATTTCCTATGTTTCTTTCAAATCAGGCAAAATTATAAGAAATATTGTTTAAAACTTAAACAATGCAATAGTAAATTATCTTTTTAAGGTTGAAGTAACAAGATTATTTATTTATTTATTCCACCAACAATATTTTACAGCGAAATTCGAATATACCTAAATCCAAACGATATTAAATAAATTAAAAAATCTAACAAATTTTAACGTCAGGTAAATACTAAAATCCACTCATTGAAAAATCTATTTGTATTTTTTAATTAAAGTGTGAATTTACTGATTACTATTGATAAAACGATAAAACATCATCTGCTGTGATTTAATTACAAATATATGATATTTATTAATAATCAATTATGTAATAATTACTATTACTTTTCAAACTAATAATATCTAATATCAGAGGGGCTATTGTTGTTAGTACGGCATCGCCCACCTTTTTGTTCTTTTTTGGTTGTTCCTCAATTTTTTATTGTTCATCTAGACAATAGCAAACAATGTCCAAGAAGGTATTTGATGATTTGGATGATGATAACGAAATACTGATATTCCTTCTCCTTATGAACACCATTTCCTCTTCATCTTCTTCTTCCTCCTCAAATAAAAAAGCGTAGTCAGAGAAAGAATGCCCATTTTTTTATCTTCGAAGATAAAGCGAAATGTTTGAATGTTATAACAACCCCAGTGAGGAGTTTCAGTGAAATAGCTTCGCCAACAGCGGGATAGGGGAATAGGGGTTGCTGTAGCGGGCCGTGCCAGCGAAATAGTACCTTAAGGATTACCATAATATTCATAAAATATTGGAAAATTTTAATTTACCTGATTTCCGGTGAAGTTGCCCACTAGAAACAGGAAACTGTAGCCTTAGCTGTTGAGCATTTTCAGTAGTTTTTTCTAAGTGGGTTTTGACTGGCAAGGAGGCGCAATTCTGTAATAAAAGCCATAAAGATAAAAAATATAAAATTTTAACTGATTAGATGTTTTTTTAAAAATAAGTTAGTACATATTTAAATACAATAAGAGAACAATTTATAAAATTTATTACATCTTTATTATTATACATAATTAAAGTTAGTATTACAGAGAGGCCAAGTTAGTAAAAAAAAAAAAAATCATTCATTCATAATACTTTTACGAAACATCAAAAAGAGGGCAAAACAGTGTCAAGAGATATCTTCTTTCCATCCTAATTTTCGAATGAGAAAGACTGTGAAATAGATTTAATCACCATATAAGCGACTAAATCTATATTAAAACCAATTCGATATAACACAGAGAATACATATTTGATTTATAAAAGGCGACACGTTGTGTTCATACCCTTATGTTCATAATAATATTGTTCGACCTCTCTTTAAGTTGGAATGGATGATGAAAAGGTTTCTCACTTTCATTTTCGCTGGAGGATTCGGAACTGACTGATTCCTGCCCTGTAGCATCCTTTTGCGACAGCAATTTGCAAAAATCTAAAACAAATTAAGAAGAAAAAAAAAATACTTGTAATAGTAGCTATTAAAAATTAAAAAAAATCATTATTATTTTCAATTCTTCACTTATCTTACATAATTAACGTAATTTGTGGTTAATTTTGAAACTAAATGAGCACCAAATATAGTTGAGAAGGTTTTATTCATTCATGCTATGAAGAAACCTAATAAAAATTAATTGAGGACGTATTAAATGTCTTTAACAGGGCCATTTTAAAAAAAAGTAAACATTCTATGTCCTACTGTTTCAAAAATTCATAGCTCACAATAGGACTCAATTATCAAAAATCTGATAAATCTCTCAGGTTCATCTTTATTACGTTTTTAAAGACTACAAACTTGAGGCAAAATAATAATTTTCATGGCTTACATAAAATTGTAAAAATAATGCAAATATCATGAACGTTGTGGTCCATTATTAGATAGTGGTAGAAGACATTAAAGTGGTTAGAAGCTTAATTTTTCATATTAAATTTTAATGAGCTACTACTAAATATTACTGAACTGCTTAATATTGTTGGTTGTTTTTAGGATAGCAATTTGAATAAATAAGGTTCGGAGAATAGAATAACTCATTTTATTTTTAAAATACATTACTAAATACTTTGAGGTGTAAATAACGGAGTATACAAATGAAGTACATTAAATGTCACTTGAAGTTTGTCATCGGAAAGTTCTTTTTGCAAAAATGTAAAACAAATCAAGAAAAAAAAAATTACTTTCAATATTAAAAATATTTTACTTGTGAATTATCCAAATTATTTATAAAAATTAATGTAAATATGTTTGACAATTATTTTTACTATTTATGTATTTTTCTCTTCTCCTTAGGTTGTGCTTTTTCTTTCGGGTATATATGCTTATATTTTATATGTTTGTCTTTATGTGTGCCAATATGAGAATGTACGTATAAATAGTTCTTTTTATTTATTTTACTTATTTTTTTTTTCCATTACACCACAAGTATCCTAAGATTTTATTTTATCTTAGTGTCTGCATATTATTATATAAACCACTGTAGATATTATTACATTTTGTATTAAGTTAGTTTTCTATTAGATAGCCTATTGTTTATAAATTGTATAGTTATGTATATAGAAATATGTAATTTCTCTTTTTTTTTTCCATCACAATTAAGTAATTTTAAGAAGATTTTATGTTCATTTGTATATATATTTTATTTTTTATTTTTCACTGGTTACAAACTTTTTAAATAATGTATATAATATTAAAATTTTTATAAGTTAGTTTTTGGCCAGATTTGTACTTTACTTTGTATTAACTCATCATTGTTATTCTAAAGGGACATAGTCCCAGAATAAAGTTTAATTTTCTATTCTATTCTAAATAAAGGTTAATTTGAAAATAACAAAACAATAGAATAACTCATTTTGTTTTAAACATACATTACTAAATATTTTGAGGTGTAAATAACGGAGGAGTATACAAATGAAGTAAATTAAAATATCACTTGAATGTTTGTCATCGGAAAGTTCTTTTTGCAACAATATAAAACAAATCAAGAAAAAAAAAATTACTTTCAGTATTAAAAATAAAAATATTTTACTACTGAATTATCCAAATTATTTATAAAAATTAATGTAAATCAAGATTAATTTGGAAACTAAGTCGTTAACAAACAATAGAATAACTCATTTTGTTTTAAACATACATTACTAAATATTTTGAGGTGTAAATAATGGAGGACACAAATGAAGAAAATAAAAATGTCACTTGAATGTTTGTTATCGGAAAGTTCTTTTTTTAAAAAATGTAAAACAAATCCAGAAGAAAAAAATTACTTTCAGTGTTAAAAATAAAAATATTTTACTTGTGAATTATCCGAATTATTTATAAAAATTAATGTAAATCAAGATTAATTTGGAAACTAAGTCGTTAACAAACAATAGAATAACTCATTTTGTTTTAAACATACATTACTAAATATTTTGAGGTGTAAATAATGGAGGACACAAATGAAGAAAATAAAAATGTCACTTGAATGTTTGTTATAGGAAAGTTCTTTTTTTAAAAAATGTAAAACAAATCCAGAAGAAAAAAATTACTTTCAGTGTTAAAAATAAAAATATTTTACTTGCGAATTATCCAAATTATTTATAAAAATTGATGTAGATCAAAGATAATTTGGAAACTAAGTCGTTAACAAACAATAGAATAACTCATTTTGTTTTAAACATACATTACTAAATATTTTGAGGTGTAAATAATGAAGGACACAAATGAAGAAAATTAAAAATGTCACTTGAATGTTTGTTATCGGAAAGTTCTTTTTTTAAAAAATGTAAAACAAATCATGAAAAAAAAAATATTTTCAGTATTAAAAATAAAAATATTTTACTTGTGAATTATCCGAATTATTTATAAAAATTAATGTAACTCAAGGTTAATTTGGAAATTAAGTCATTAACAAACAATAGAATAACTCATTTTGTTTTTAATATACATTACTAAACATTTCAAGGTGTAAATAATGGAGTATACAAATGAAGTAAATTAAAATGTCACTTGAATGTTAGTCATCGGAAAGTTCTTTTTGCAAAAATGTAAAACAAATCAAGAAAAAAATTACTTCCAGTACTGAAAATAAAAATATTTAACTTGTGAATTACCTAAATTATTTATAAAAATTGATGTAGATCAAGATTAATTTGGAAATTAAGTCATTAACAAACACAACTAGGCAAGATTTTTTCAATGATTCATTCATTTCATGAAGAAGAAAATAAATAAAAATGAAATAAGGGGAAATGTTAAATGTCTTAATACCGGTAGGTTTAGGTTAGGTTAGGAATTTGAATAAATAAGTTTCGTAGACTAGAATTAATCCTTATATCTTTCAGAAACAATACAAGATATTCTGATGAGTACGAGATGAGAGAATACAGAAAATGAAGTAAACTAAATGTCACTAGAATTGTCATCGGCAATTTCATTATAACAATCTATAACCTTTTTTTATTTACACAGGGGTTTATCATAGAAATCCCTAAAGGTATATACTATGATAATATTTCAATAAACATATCTCATAGATCATTTATATTTAAAGTTATATATAATTTATAATATTGAAACCTTGCAGTACAGCCGTAGACACCCGACGAAGGAATTAACTAGCGGACTATAACGAACCGAAAACTGATCTATGCGCAGACGCCGTAATGGAAATTCTTTTTATATTTTCGCAAACATAAATAAAGGAAAATATAAAACTCGAATAAAATATATAATTTGATTCATGAGTAAATTATAAAATAGTTGATACATAAATTACAATTATCGAGCTGATATACGATATACAAATGAGAATTGGAATATGGCCAAATTTATTTTACCATATTTCTAATTAAATTAGTAATTTTTATTTAATCAATAATAAGGTTAATTAAAAGCTATAAATTCTTTAAACTACTGACTAAGAATGCGCCTACATTTTTAATTTAGAAAGCTTTTTTTTTTTTTTTTGTAATATTCGTAACATTTATATTAAACTAGCTTTACCCGGCCACGCGCTGCTGTGGCTTAGCCTGGCAAAATGAAAAAGAAAGAAAATAGAAAGCACATATGAGTAGATTAATAGCAAAAGACATCTGTCATTTTTAAAAAATTGAGAAACAAATTTGTCTGTAAAATGGCTTCAATTTAAACTAATTCTAATGGTTTTTTTTTTCTATTGATTTAAATTGAACATTCATAATCATCTGAGTGAATACGCCGTCATTCATAATCATCAGAAACAGTCTGAGTTGAACTTATAAAACTAAATTAAAAAATTAATAAAAAAAAAAATACGTATAATAGTATTCACCTACATAGGGAGAATCATATAACTTCTTTAAATGATAATTTCAATTACTGTAGTAATTATAACATTTTCGAATAATCAATAAAAAAAAAAAAATGCTTGCCTACCTTCGGTATTGAGGAAGCAAAAAGAAACGGCCTGAAGAGAAAGCAGTAAATGTTAAAAATTCAATGACTCTGCAACGAACCGTCCGATTTCGATGATTTTTTAATTATTTTGTAAGCGCTTCAGAAATCTTTCAAATAAATATGGGTATTATTAGTCAAAAATTGTGAACTTTTTTAGTTATCTTTAAATAAAATATTGAATTCATCGTAACATTTTTTAGCTTGTTTTCGGAAAAGTATGTTATACACATAAATTAAAAGGCTTTCAAGGGGAAGACTTAAGCCAAGTTTCGTTAAAATCGGTAAAGCCGTTTTGGCTCTACAGTTTATAGCGACACATTTTTAGCGGCTTTGAACAGAAAAACATTTACATTTTTATTTTTTTTACATATATAAAATTATCGTAAGACAGAAGTACTATGCCAGCCAGAAACCTTCCCAGGAGTGTACGGAACAACTTCCCAAAGTTTCATGGCGATCGGATGAATGGTTTAGTAATGCACTAAGGACAAACAGACGGACAGACAGACATACATTCATTTGTATATATTTAGAAGAAGAAGATAATGGGAATCTACCAGTTGGATTATGCTACCTGCAAAAATGGTGACTGATTTAAAGAATATCAGGCCAATAAGTTGAGGATCAAAACAGGAAATTGTAAAAGACAAAAATGCTAATCCAGGACCACCAAAGGAAAACAGATTTTTTTTCGATCTTTTTTACTTTCACTTGCCTATGCATGTAATATATAGTAAGTGTAAGTATTGCGATCGTGAAAATTTTTGAATATGAGTTTTCAACGGAAATACACGTTTTGAGGTCCAAATAACCAAGTCCTGAAAAATGTTCCGTGTGTATCTGAACACACTAGCGTACGAAACTGATATTACATATTTAAGATAGGTATATGCCTTAGATGTCACAGCAACTTTTTCCTTAAAATCGGCTAACCGGAAGTGGCACTTTATATTAACGCTGAAACACATTATCAGTTATCAAAAATTATTATTTATAATTTTTTTTTTTTTTTTAGCTCACCGTTATCTTCTATAGCTTTCTATATTAGACATTGTTTTTTTTCTAGAATTCTCCGCTTTCCAACGATATATTATAAGTGTACTTCTGACTTGTATTTCCGGAGATTCATTTTCGATCTGTTTAAGGCATTTTTATTTTTTTCTCCTTTATTAAATTATCAAATCCTTTCAAAAGTTATATTTAACAGTTTTTTCATAACTTTTAATAATGAGAGATGGTTGATTATTTAAAATAAACCATATTAAAGGTACTTTAGAGGAAGACACATATAAACATTGAGCATTGGAGCTCTGTAAAGTGACATCAATGGGGATAAGGCCTATTTGATATTAAAGACCACTTAATTATACAATGATACACCGAGTTTAATCAAAATCGTTAAGAGCCGTTTTTGAGAAAATTGTAAAAATCTGTTTCAGCGTTGATATAAAGTGGTACTTCCGGTTAGCCGATTTTAAGGAAAAAGTTGCTGTCACATCTAAGGCATATACCTATCTTAAATATGTAATATCAGTTTCGTAGGACTTTTCGGTTTTGAGCTAGTGTTCACATAGACTATTTATTTTGGTTATTTGGACTCAGGGGACCTCAAAACGTGTATTTCCGTTGAAAATTCAGATTTAAAAAATTTCACGATCGCAATATTTACACTTACTATATATTACATATATAGATAAGTGAAAGTAAAATTGTACTCTCTCTGTTTAAATTAAAGAACGTAAAATTGTGCGTCGAACGATTATCTAAATATAATAATTTGGTTAAATAATAATTATTAAGTCGATAACCACGGTCAAAGAAAATTGATTTTTGACAAATTACTATAAATGCTCTTGTACCTTAGAAATGAGTTTCCTAAGAGATAAACTCATAGAATAAAAGTTGTTGAGTATCGAATACCGCATACACGGAGTACCAAGAATCGGGAGTGATCAGAAGCACAGGAGGATCTACGGGTACGGGGGGAGGGGGACTTTCGGGCTGAAGCCCTCCCCCCCAAAATGTTAAAATATGACCATGTTTAACAGAAAGAAATATTAAAAACTATCTCTTAAAGTATTATTGTTCGTGTAATTACATTTAATAGGACTTCAAGAACCACTTAAACACCATTTCATATAGGTAGTTAATTTATTTCTTTTTTTTTCTCTCCCAAAATTAAAGTCTGGATTCGCTAGTGCTCAGAAGGGTGTTTAAGTTGGGGGACTAGAGAACTCATTTCCAAGCTGCATGACCATTAATAGTAATTTTTTTCAGTTTTTGACGAATTAGGTAAATCGTTGACCATGGTTATCGACCATACCACTTAACCAAATTATTAAGTTTAGGTACTCATTCATTGCACAATTTAACGTTTTTTAATTTCTCAAAAGAGTAAGTTTTTTTCGCTTCGCTGCACCTTTCAAGAGTTATAGGAGAAAAAACCTCCCAAATATCGAAAAAATCTGTCGTTATTTTATTTTTTACATGTTTAAATGCATTTAGTCCGTGGCACTGACGTCTATATTAAATTATTAACCTCATTATAATCTACAAATATTTTATTTACTAAAATTCTCGGAATTGAGAGATTGGCAAACTTCGTCTATTTAATAAGGCACTAAAAAACTCACGAATAACCATAATTTACTTTCCACTTGAATCTTAAGATAATATGATCACAAAATCGAAACTAAAGTGGCTTACAAAAATATTTTGTAGTCCAGTTTGTCATGACCTCAACCTCCAAAATAACGAAGTTATGTTAAGCAAAATAACCCAATATTTTTTTAGACCACCTTTTTTACTTTCCTACATATACTAGGTAAGGAAAGTATTGCGATTGGGTCAAATTTTCGATATGCGGTTTTCGACGTTTCAGAGTCCCCTAAGTCAAACACATTATTAGCCATTGGTCTGTCTGTCAGTCTGTGCCAAAATTTTCTTGGGAACTAGTGAACCGATATTGTTGCTTTATTTATTTTGCTGGGTTTTGACTACTGATGCCTGTGACACAAATTGGATGCTCCATGCACAATAAATGAAAAACATGTTTTTCTATAGACCGAAAACGGCTCAAACAATTTTGATTAAACTTTCCTATAATATTATAATAATTGTCCTTTCAATTTTCGCACAAAAAAAGTTATAAAGAAAAGAAAAATGTTTTGGGTTCTAACTCGCTAAGTATATATTCTATGGTAAAATTTATAATAAAACTTTTAAAGATAATTAAATTACTAAAAGAATACAAAAAAGAATCACCGAAAAAGACCGTTTAGCCAGCCTGTTTTTTTTTTTAAAGATGATGAATGATGATTGTTGTTCATTTTGGACAACTATTAACAAAGTTACAGCTATTCAATTTCTAATGTAAGATTACGGGTTCATATCCTGGTGTCAGAAAGGGGTGAATAAGAGAATAAAGTTGACTAAGTGAAAATAAGAAAATCTCTTGCCTGCATCACACAAGCTTCACTATTTCCTCTACTTTTAACAGAAATTATTGTGTGACAAAATTAAGCTATAGCAAAAAGTTTCTGATCGGCAATATTATAGGGCATTGATATTTTTACACTGATCTACATGAAGCCGGTTTATATTGATCATATTATCTTACTATTCAAGTGGAATGCAAATGGGTAGTATTCATGAGTTTTTTTTTAGTACCTAATTGAATAGACAAAGTTTGCCGATCTTCAGATTGAAAACGCCCAATTCCAAGAGTTTTGTTGAGTAAAATATTTATTGAAGGAAGCTAGTAGACTGTTCTGCATATCATCGATGATAAATATTCAGGAATCAGCATCTTTTTTAAAAATGATGACCCACCTGTTTGGGTTGAAACGTTGGAACAAATAAAAAATTAAATATTTTTTTTTTTTTTAAAAAGACTGCATCCTGAATATTTATTACCCAATATTTATAGGTTATGATGAGATGAAGCTATTACGAAGTTTTAGGCGGATA